TTGATGATTTTAGGCTTGTTGGAATCGTCTCATTGAGACGAACATTTTGGTAGTAAAATCATCCAAAACGGATCATTGGTTCAAATTTTATTTAATATTAAAGTTTAAAAATTTTTTAAATTTTTAAAAAATTTTAAAAAATTTTAGCCAATCAAAAGTTATCTACTATTAGGACCTGATAATTTTCAGACCCCCCCTACCCTAAAAAATCAGGTGATAAATGGCGCTCCCCTTATTGGTGATATGAACAGCAAGAATATGATGGTATGGCAACGAATATTGTGTACTATAATTACAACTACAAGTATATTCAGTTTCAACTTGATATACTATGTTTACAACTCTCATTACAATAGACTTGGAGTATACCACCTTCTTGCATTTCAATTTTATACACAGTGGCTGTATTGTATTGCTCCAATAATATAAAATATACAAAATCTGAAATAACTATTGAAATATCTTTTAACAATTTAGAGCATTGTTGACGAATGCTTTCACGTAGACGATACTGTTGATATTGGGGGTGCTGAAGTTGGTGATTACTTAACTTTTTCAATGCACTTATTAATTTAGGTAAGGGCACTGTATGACTTAACAGACACTTTAAATGTACATTACTGGCTTCTGATTGTTGTGTTGTTCGTATTCCATAGTTAATATTCTTGTTTATATAACAATATACCCATATATAGATAAAGTGTTTCCATTGCTCTACCATATATGTTTTAGCCTCAGGATGTTTAGTTAATAGACAATTCCATAGAATATTAAATTGATTTTCATCACTTTCAACTATTGTAGTTTTGAAATCTTTAAAGAATACTATGAATTTATCTTTAAGCTTACTACTTAGGTTCTTAATAAAATTTTGTTCAATATGCCAAATGCAAAGCTAGTGCTTTATATGTGGCAACTCGGTTCGAACTGCTGAAACAATTGCAAGGTCTTGATTAGTTAAAAGCATTTGTATATTGTAAACAAGTATATCACTAATTAATTGCTTTAATTGTTGGAATATTTAGCAAAAGCTTGAAGTAGTTTTATTAGCAAGAAGCCCACTTGCGATTAAAAATATGATACCTATAGCGTCAATACCACAGATAAGCAGAAGTGGTATCCCAAAATGATTTGTCTTATATGTAGAATCCATTAGTAAAATTTCTGGATAATATTTAAACATTACAAGTGCAGAATGAGTAGTGAAAAATAGGCAATAAAGCTTGCCATTATTAATTAAATAGGTAACTTTATATTCGTCATTGTTGCTTAAACTATTTAATAGATTTGCAGTTTCTGACAAGCCATTTACATAGTCTTTAGATTGGTTATTTAAAGCATTATAGACATCCTTATTATGAATATATCTATTATATTGTTCAGTTAGCATGTTAACAATTGTTGGTACTGGCATGCCTCTATTATAAAGCATTTGTATATGTGATTTTTCACTATTGCTTAATTTGCGATATCCGGGGTCAAACATAACTGCAGCAGTATCCAAAAGATGGTTGTGTTTAAGATTAACACTTCTTACACAATATTTGGTTTTTGCCTAGTGAATCACTATCTTCTATTGGCATCCAATAGCAATACTTTTGGTTTTTCATAATCTAGTACTTTTGTTACTTGGAGTGCCAGCACGACAACAAACAATTTTTGCTCTGGTGGTAAGGCCCATGATTTTGTTAGTATATTGTAATCTTGTTACAAACTCTTTACTTATTGCATAGACATTAATGCATTTCTCGACCTTTTGCCAGTCATCAAAAGTTTGGCCAACAAATATTTTAGTTGAATTGTTATTAATTAGAGTTGCAGATAGGATTATATTGTTATCACTAATATCTCTATCAAGTGCTTCATTGTTATTAAAGATAAAATTATCATCAAGAAGGTCAAGTGAATTATCATTATTCCTGGTATCAATATCAGCATCAAAATTCGTATTGAGACTAATAACTTCAGTGCTTAAATCACTATCATCCAATGCAAATGATCATTCAATACTCATTTTAAAAAAGTGTTGATAGCAAAAAAACAAACAAAAGTAAACATAAAAACAACTTTAATTGAATGCAAATTATTAAAAGGTTATTTGGAAAACTCTAAAAGAAAAAAAAAAAGCTTATTGAGTTATTTCTAACTCAAATTTAAGATATTTTTATAGTATTTATTGTTTTAAAAATTTTTATTTATGCTATTTACATCTCATCTATTTTACTTTTTGAAACACAATGAGAATTTATTGTATTTGGGGTTTTTGGCTTGATACCAGGAAGTACTATTATTCAATTTTCTTTTCTTTCTTGTTTTTTTTAATTTTTTTGATTGCTAATTTTTTATTTCATTCTTCATTTGTAAATTCGAAGCATCTTTTAGATTTTTGCGCTTCTTAACACAGCCTTCTATATAAGCCTTACCATTTTTAGTAAAATTACTTTGCTTGATACTAATACACAACTATGAATTTTTGAACTTTTTATTCATTTTCCTCTTGTGAATTCGAAGTATCTTAGATTTTCACATTTTTTAACACAGCCTTCCATGTAAGCTTATCACTTTTGGTAGTATTATATTCTTCTTGCTTGTTACTAATATGTGACTATGAATTTTATTACTTGACTTTTAGGTTAGCAGCTTTGAATGCGAACCCATAGTTCAGAATCATGAGAATTAGATATCTTTCAGAGCTATGATATCAGAATGGCTCTAAAACTTATAAATTATCAAGATTTAATAATAGACCTAACAATAGATTATTACCAGAAGTGTGACTTAAAATGTAGACAAGTAGAGTTTTGAAGAATTATACCACTACTACGTGATTATTAGCATAGCAATGATCGATATAGCAAGATGATAAAGATATCACAACACCCACCAAGCCAAATTTAAGAAACTTTTTTTATTTGAATTTTATAAAGCTATAGAATTCAAATAAAAAAAGTTCATTGAATTTGGCTTGGTAGTTATTGTGATACAGAGGTTTACAAAAAAATTAGAAGTTTTTATCATATAAATTAATTGTAAAGATTATGCAATCAGATTTAATAAAGTAAACTCTAGCACTACTACAACTACTGTATAGATAAATAGATTCTCTACTAATAAAAAAAAATATAGTGAAATTAGTGAATTTATACTATATTTTCAAAGCAAGAAGGTATATTCTATTTTCATTCAAAATTAGAAAATTTTTAAAACATCTATTAAAATAGAAGCTATGCTAAAGTTTTTTTTAACTTGAGACAAGATATCCTGACAACCACAAGCCAAATTTGATGATTTTTTTTTTTTTAAACTCTGCGAATTTATAGAATTCAGATAAAAAAGTTCATTTAATTTGGCTCAATGTTATCATAACATCTTTGCTCAAATTTGTTTGCTGTATTAATTGCTATGCCAATAAGATGTAATGATTTGTTTTTTCCATTTCTGTATTTGTCTAATTCTTTATCACTTTCATAATTGTACCATCATAGCTATATTAATTTTATCTTAGTAGTATTAAGTATTATAATGTATTGTTGGAGCTTAATTCATGTAACTATGAATACATAATGGTTGTAGCAAATATACTGTAATTATTGCAAAGACAAAAATACACAGAAACTAATGCGAATATATTGTAGTTGTTACGATAAAGCTTTAAGAATTGTAATATATATAACTAGTTGCCTTTATTATTGATTAAGCAAAAACACACTCCAAATTTCTCTTATAAAGATAATATAAATTCTATAATAAATGCTAATTAAATTTATACAACCTTTTAACATCAATTACAATAGTTACAAAAGTAAGCTATATAGCTGCTATATTGGCATAATTTGTATATAATCTTACAATTTAATTTGTGTATTACGAAGTATGAGTCACGTGATAATACTTGTATATATTTTTACAATTTGATTGGTACGTCACAAAGTGTGGGTTACATGATAATGCCTACACATAGTCCTGCAATTTGGTTAGTGCATTACAAAGTGCGAGTTACATGACTTGCAAAATGTGGATCACATTGTTACAAGTGAACTATCGCCTTCTTTAAAATATAGTATTTGCAACACAGCACACGGTGACAGGGATCTATATAGGGTCAGAATAGATATGAAGCGATGTGGAAGTGGAATATTACTTCACTAGGGCGATTCGGTATAGTTTATCCAAGAGTAAAATATATGTTTATTAAGATATATTTATTTTTTATTTTTTTTAATATTTAGGTGACCACTTAGACCCCTGGCACTTTATTAGTTCAAACGGGTGGGCTGTCCGAAGACAGCTTACATATTACATCAGTATAACGAGAGTAC